ACGCGCAATTTGAGTACCGTAAACCGCACGAAATTGACATTCTCCAGCTGGAATAACGATTCGGCCTAACGGTACGTACTGTTAGTCATCGTTACCCCAACGCGCGCCAAAGTCGTCAATGGCAAAGTCGCAGAAATAAGAGAAGATCGCCGATTCGCGAGAGAGACGCGCGCGCGTCTCTTCATTGCATCTTAATAAACATCCGATATAAAAAACACATGTGTGTTTCGACAAATGTGGTGCGTCAATTGTTACGCGATTCTTCGAAATCGTTCGTCCGAAAGAAAGTTTGATTTGAAATTGCGAGAGACGTGACTGTTTCTGTAAAAAAAAAAAAAAAAGGGAGAAAAACAGTAACAAACGAAAGTTGCCTCGTCATCGGTTGATTTCACGTTTGTCCGTCGTGTTTTATAAATATTATAAGACCGAGAACAAGAGTGAGGAGACACGCGGAAACCTGATTCCCAGATCGTCGAGAGGGAAAGCGCGCGGCAAGATTTTTGCAATGTTTGCCACCGAGATTCAAAGTCAAGCGCGACTCGCCGTAAAAAACACACAGTCGCACGTATTTTTTTTTATCGAACAATATGCGATTTGAATAAAAACGGATGTCAGAGCGCGACGGGATTGCCGCGGTTTCTTAAAAACGCGGTTGCTTTCGAAATTATGACAATAAATATATATCGCGTTCGGTCGAATCCCGTCGAATGGAATGCCGTGTAAATGATCGCAATAACGGCTGACCTTGATGTGTAACGGTGCTGCTTAAGCAAAGATTACACCTGAAATTGCATACAACACGCGCGTAATCGCGATTTTGTAATTCATTAAACGTCAGCCGTTTTTTTTTTTCCACCAATAATCGTCGACACAATTGAGCGCGTCCTCAAAAAAAAAAAAAAACCGTGGCGATTGCGAAATAAGACATAAGGCGAATTAAAGGCGCTTAAACCGTGCGACATGTAAATTGCAAGGTGTATACGTCGCCGTTCATCGACAGGTGGACAGCTGTCTAACAAAACGGAATGGATCAGTTTAGTTTCCTCGACTCTTTCTTGCTGGCAAAAACACAGACAATCATCAATCTCGTGTGACATGATTATCACACGCCGATGTTAATTATTTATTTGCGCTAGTGGCAAAGAAAAAAGCGATTGAAAATATTGTTTTCTTATCGTCAATTGAGAGAAACGTTTTTTTTTTTTTTCTTAAAGTAAGAAAACTTTGGTTTGTTCATTCAGGAATGCGATGACACAACGTAACACGCGGTCGCATTCGAGTTTTAACAATTGAAATTGTTCTTTTTTTTTTTTTACGATATCTAGTCATTTAGAAAAAAATGCAAGTAAGTTTTTATCGCCCAACGATAAGGAGAGACCTTGGCTGACTAAACCCAGTCAGCACCACTTATCGTTATTGTAAATTTGTTAGAATGATAAACGTTTTAAACAAACGCTCCAAGGTTGAAATAAACAATTTCTCAATAAAAAAACGTCGTTCTGAAGTCAACCGCGCGTCAGCGCGTATAAAATATATATATATACGATATTATAATACGTCACTTTTCGACTGTCGCAATCAAATTTACAAAATAAAAATGTCGAATTGAAAATCGCAGATAAAGAGATTTCCACACGTACACAAATTGTTTTACGTGCGTATTTTAATTTTCTGGTTTACGTGCCGATCGCGCGAGCCAAGTTCAAAGCACGTGAGGACGACCTTTGCCGCTAATAGAAATGTTGTGAGGCAGCGAAAACAGTTAACTTAACATCCTCGGTTATACACTCAGTCAGCTCGTAAACGTGATCAGCAAGACAAACGAATCCCGACGATGTAGAGGACTTGCGATTACACGCGTGGTGGCCGGCGGAATTGCCGGTTGAAAAAATTCGCGTGGCCGCGCCAACCAGCCAACGGTAGTCGCAGTCAAGTAGAGCGTGTTCGATGGTGTTTCCAATGTGGAAAAGGCGATGCGATCATTGGAGCTCAAATTGCCGGCACGTTATTTACCATTTTTGCGCGCATCTCTCCGGAGAAGCGCGCGTTTTCACGCGAAGATCTGCTCTCTCTCGGCGGAAGTGCACGGATTCAATTAATTCCGATCGACGTATATAGTATTGCGGTTCTCGCAACGCCGCGAAATAACGAATCGAGATATACTTCTGTTGCGTTGTAACTACAAACACGCGAAATATATCGAATTGATCGGAATTGTCTTGTCGTATTTTTTTTATATATTAAAATTCGAAAACACATCTTCTTTCTGACCAAATCAACGTGTGACAAACGATATCTCGAAATACGTTGCGAATGTTGACGCGCGATTCAACCTCGAGTCAACGCGCACTTGTGTAATAACCGCAATGAGAAATAAAAGATAAAATACAAGAGAGCGAACACACGAACGCCGATACATAACATTTCAAATCCGTTGCTTCTCATTCACTGTATTTGTATTTCAAACAAGTTTCGCACTTCGTACTTTTTTTTTTTTTTTTTATTTCTTTTAGCACACGGCCTACTTTCTTCTCATTTCTCTCAATACCGATCTCACGTGAGGACGGACAGCGTCCGTGCGTTTCTCGCGGAGGGTAGAGATCTCTCGTGGGGGAGAAAACGAAACTATACAAGAAAACCCCATCGGAGGGGGGGAAAATTCTGCGCGACAGACAGTATACCGATTTATACCGATCTCGATTTTTTTCTTCCCAACGTACCTTTTTTTAAAGTTCCGAAACGAAAAATCCACGAGCTTCGCCTTCGTGCGTGTGTGATCTCGCGGAACGGACTGTGGCGAAGAATTCGTCAGGAAGGTGCTCGCACACCTGACACGGCGAAGGTTCTGGCGTGACTGGCGTCAGACGTAGCCCGTCGAACGGTACTTACCTACCTGAGCAGGTCCCCCCGGTTTCGTATCGTAGAAGTCGACGATATAATGCACAACCGTCTGCACCGCGGAATATTCTTTGCTCGAGTGAATTCTCGCGCCTCGTCGCTTCGCAACTTCCGAAACGATACGAGTTTTAATTTCTTTTGTTTAATTTCATGTGTCGTCGCACGTCAAAAAGACACGTAAATTAAAGACGACAACAAAGCAAAAGAATAAATGTTTAACTTATATTTTTGTCGCTCAATATCTCGTCCTCGTGTTAAGCTTTTTCTCTTTCTTTTGTGCAACACTGTAAAATCGAACGATTTAATCGCGGATTTATTTGCCGATATATGTAGATAACAATCAATTGTGCAATAAGTTTGCAACTTTTTTAAATGTTTTACACGTGTATTTTATATTTTTAGCGACACGAGAAATTTTTAATTCTAATTTTTTGTTCCAGAATTTGCGAATTTTGTATCTTTTATGTCTTCGAATATGTTTATCTTTATGCTCATCTTTGTTATCGACAATTTTGATTTTGTTTTGCTCATTATTCATTATTATTTACAAGTTGCTGTACATTGTAGATATTAATTTAGCGTGTCATCTGATATCACGCAAAATAGCCTATTACTGTTATAATGTACACGTTACACGACTTTGTATATGGACATGCGGTATTTCTCTCAACCACACGCAGAAGCAACTTTGTAAACTTAGCCACTTAACAATCTAATCAACGAACCTGTCGATAATCTCGATTATAAAAATGAACATTAGAAATTCAACACGAAATTCCGTAACAAAGTTACCGTTACCGAGATCGGTCACCGATTTACCGGTTTTCACAGATGTCGGAGATATGCAAATTTATTTTTTTTTTCCTTGTTTCAACTTTGTAAATGTATAACACACTTGTTTTTTTCAAATTATTGTTAGGTCACAAAAATTTCCCATGCCGGATGCGCGAGGTCAAAAATTTAACCGGACGAAATAGCGGGTCATTTCGCATAAAATCATTCGTAACACATTCGTAAAAACCGGCTTCTCCGGATAGAATTACACGTGAATGTAGTCCTTTACTTTCGGCGGACAATCGCTGACCACACGAGGTATCAGGAAACCCGCGTCCCACGAAGGTGTACTGACCTCTTTAAATCCAGATACCAAGGACGCGCCTGAGCACACAACGATACGGGGAAGGGATTGTTCAACCGGTTACGAGCTGCGACTTGGTTCCAAGTTTTCAGAAATCGTCGATCACACAATCAAGATCATCGTCTCGTTTGTTTTCACGCGTGAATTAATTGACGTTCCGCTATTTTTTTTTTTTTTTTTTTTTAAATAGATCACGTCGTCTCACAAAGCAAAAAAATTCGAGGAATATAGTTCGAGCAAAACGAAGAAAGAAACTCCACTTATATGGAGAATAAAAAAATTAATACTTTTCATATTGCAACGTAACGTGTAATGTGTGTGTGATAAAAATTTTATATTATTTTAGTCGCTTACGCATATTCTCGGTTTGTAAAAAGTTGGAGTTCTGTTATATTAGAAATATCTTAATAAAATGCTTCAAAACGTCGTTTAAACTTCACCGGCGCATAAATAAAAAATCAAGAAGGAAGTTCTGCCTGTGTATATCGCGATTGTTTGACGCATAGATATGACGCTCGCATGTATTTTTAATGAGAAACACGTTTTTTTTTTTAAGATTGAAATATTTTTACATATGAGAGACGGAAGACCCGCGATCGATACATTGTTAATACTCGAGTGTCTTAAAGTAGCGGTTTTCTTTTTTTTGCGATATGCGACTTTATTTTCAAGAAAATATCTCTCAGCTGCACGAAAAAAAAAAAATAGAATAAACGCGGCTGCGAACGGTCGCACGCGAATAAAAGATGCAATGCAATGGGGATATCTTCGGGGAAAAAAAAAAAAAAGAAACGAGGACGACTCACGTCTCGTCGCGTTTTAATCAGTCAGCCACGTACTTGCGTAAGAAATTCTCGGATTCTCGAAATGATCTTCCATTATGGCGATACCACCGCAACGTTTTCCGCGCACAGGTTGGCGCTCAGCTGCGTCGGAGTTTGGCCTGTGAAAGGGAAGAATTTTTTCATGGACCTCAGATGGATCGTTGCTGTACTTTTAGAGGTTCCGTTAAATACCTACCCAGTAACCCACTTAAATATTATTAATAAGATTTAAAATTCTAATTCTAATTTTATTATTATATCATCTCGCGTGTGTCTTAATAAATTGACCTATTTAAGTATTTTATATTGTACTTACAACGACATATGCATATATTTAAAATAATTATAAATAATTTACAATAATTATAAATATATGACACACAATATCTCGCAGAGACATTTACATAAGATACCTTAACAGTGTGACGATTTGCGGGACGGGATTTTTTTTGGGCAGGTGATTCCGATGTGCGTTTACTTCAGCGAGATTTATCTTCATTGTAATGGCGCGAAGGAGTCCTTCGATTACGTGACAATAGGAGCGGCCGCCGCGTTAGCTCTCACCAGGCTCGTCGTACCTCGCGTCCATCGGGAGAAATTGCTCGAATTAGTCACGTCCATGACGAACGACTGGGCCACGCAGAAAGACAAAAAGATACGTTGGATCATGAACAAGTACGCGGCGATGTCGACGCGCGTGACGACGCTCACCTTCGTTCTGGTGAGCGTTATAATCGCGGTCTATGTCTCCGTGGCGGTGTCGGCGATCATCGCAAAGATTCACAAGGTCGACAACGTGAGCGCGAGAATTCAATCTTGCGTGTTTCGGAGCGAGGCGTCGCGCCAGACGTTCATAGTGATCCAGGCGATGCAGATGCTCGTCACCGGGATATCGACCTTCGGCACGACAAGCTTCTTCTTCGGACTGGCTATGCATCTATGCGCTCAGTTCGACGCTCTCGGTGTCAAATTGTCGGAAATCCGAGTTGGCAAGACGCGCAATCGCGAAATCGCCAAAACGGTCGAGAGACACTGTCATCTCATTCGTTTGGCCGAGTGCATGGAGAGATCGTTCAACGCGAATGTCCTGATATATCTGTTCGTTACCACGACTCTTATGTGCATCAACGGTAACTCGGAGATCCTGTAAATTTTATTTCAATTTGATTTGTGCATTTTGCCACCTGAACTGTGCAATAAACATACAAATGAAAGAGTTAGAAGGTGTCTTGGAAATATTTGTTACAATTAAAATTACATATGTTACGTATATATAAACAATTATATATTTACTTGTATTTTTTATTTCTATCTAAATTTCCCGCTTGTATATTTGGTTATTTTCCAGGCTTCCAACTGATCGTGTCGTTGCAATTCGGCAACCTGTCCATGATCGCGCATCACACGAACGTTCTGCTGCTCATGATGATCCAGTTGTCGTTTTACACGTACGCCGGTGATCGCTTGGAGATGAAAAGCGCCGCACTGGCTTACGCCACTTATGAATGCGAGTGGTACAAGCTGCCGGCAAGCGTTGCCAAAGACTTTCAGATTATTCTGTTGCGAGCCAGTATTCCTCATCAACTTACGGCCGGTAGATTCGTGCCTATGAACATGATGACGTTCAAAGACATTTTGAAGTCCACAGCGTCGTATCTTTCGGTTCTGCGTGTTATGCTGGATGAATAAACGATAGAATATCTGACTGTTACATTTGTAAAATATCACTGATTGCTTGCAGCAATCAATAGTCGATTACATATTATCTGATTCTTTCGTAGTTTTTATGTCTTCATGTCTGATAATTTAATTTGTAGAAGAAGAAGAAGAAAGAAAAGCAATAGAGACTCTTCAAATGAGTTAACATAAATAAGATTTCTTAAATACTACTCAAAACACTCAATAACTAAATAATAAAATCTTATATTATTTTGATAAAAAAAGTCTTTTAAGGTTTTCACTAATTTACAATATTTGAATTTTTAACAAGAAATAG